TTCGGAAGAAAAGTGACAGTGAAAACTGATTATAAATCTCTCATCACCATAAAAAATAAGGCGAACGACAAGTGCCCAGCAAGAATACAACGATTTATGCTCAGGCTCCAAACACTCAACGTGGGATACACGAACTGAAGCCACAAAGAGGAAAGGACCAGGTGCGTAACCTGTCCAGGGCTGTAGCAACACAAACAAAACCAGAAATTTTGGAAACAGAAATGAATACATTTGTTGACCTGGTGATGCAGCAAGCTGCAGCTTCACAATAACGGATGAAAGAAATAAAACGCCTCTTGCTGGCAGATGAGCAGTGCCCGCTACTTTCAAGTCTCAGAAAAAAAGTTTGGCCTGAAAGCATATCTAAAAGTGCCTTTAACAGCTAAGCCATTTTGGACCTTCAGGGAAGAACTAGTATTTTACAAAAGGCTACTTCTCTAAGGACAACAAATTGTAATACTTGCGGCCTTTCAGAAATATATTTTATCAAAAATTCACCAAGGAAACATGGGCATAGAGATGTCCTAGCAAAGAGCACACCAAAGTGTGTACTGGCCTGGAATATCTAGAGACATTAAAAGACTGGTTGGGGTATACCCGAAATGTCTGAAATATAAGAAAAATCATCAAAGACAGCCATTACAAAGTCACACCATTCCAGAAAGACCATTTGAAAAGGTAGGGGCAGATCTTATTTCTTCGGAAGAAAAAAACTACCGTCTTGTCGTGGATTACACAACATAAAACTGACAACGGACCACATTACTCGTCCACAGATTTTAAGACCCTTGAAAGACTCATGGAAATAGATTGAACATACGACATCCAGTCCACGGTATCCAAGGTCTAATGGCTCTGCAGAGAGAACAGTGCATACTGTGAAACAAATCCTCGTAAAAGCAAAAGACAATGGCCAGTCTGCGCATCCTCAATTTCGGAGCAACAGACAAAACAGACCAACCCTCTCCAGCTGAAATGTTCATGGGAAGAAAGCTGGAGGCGCTTATTCCTTCTGCAAACCGGACCAAAAGGATCGTTAGCAGTTGCGTGATCAAAAACAGGAAACAAAAACACGCAAAATGCTACAACCGTCACTCACAAAACATCCCCCTACCTTGAAACCCCAGGAGTTCATCAGGCACCGGAACAGTGACAGCGGTACATGGGAACCAGCTCAAGTGAAAGAGCAAGTAGATACTTACATCGTCTATACAAAGAGAGGGTTTCTTTGCAGAAACCGACAACGCCTCTTGCAGTCAGGAGAGCCTCATCATGACCTCCAAGCAGTGCGAGGGTGGTTCATACCGAAGCAATGTCCACTGTCCACCATATCCCTGTACCGATCGTACGCGGTCAAGCTGGACGTCAAGCATCTAGACCACTGGTTAAGTTCCCAAACTCACGACTTCTGTCGTCTGCTTTCCTTTTTCAACTTTCTGCCCTCACTCCCTCACCTCCTTTGCCCCATCCTCTGGGGTCCGAACTCTTTCTGCAGCCTTTCTACTGCTACTCCATAGCTCCTTACTGCTGTCTTTCAGCTACACCCCTGATTTCATGGTAGGTAAGATTTACATCTAGCCTTCTCTGAAGGGCAAAAAATCTCGGAGGTCCCGTGTGCAGGTTGCGAACGTTAACGTTCCCTTGGTGATCCAAAATCGACAAGAGGAGGCTTCGGCCGCCACCCTGCCAAAATTCAAAATTTCATTGGCTTTCGATACCAGTGGATTATACTGTATTTCCTTCGGATCTCCCCGAAGTCTAGACATTCTGTTAAAATGTGTCTAATGGTAGAAATCTGTGTCACATCCAACACAGAACGGCTTCTCATCTTCCTGAAGGAGATATTTACGTGTTAGGGACGTGCGTCCGAAGCGTAATCGAGCAAAAAGGACTTGTCTTTTCTGGAGAGGCCCGAAGGTTTTCGCTTGTGTAATTGATTGTTTTCTTGGGTGTTTTTTTTTCAATGAGTCTCCCACAGGCTGGAGGTGTAGTTTTTTACTTTATTTTTAAAGTCCGTCTGTGGGAGAGTGTTCGTCGTTGATCCAAACAGAAGGGACGAGGATTCCTTCGCCAGGAGGTCCACTTGCTCGTTTCCTCGGATGCCCACATGGCCAGTTAGCCTGGTTTCAGCCAAAGCGTGTATTTTTGTTGTAACCTAACTATTTTTGGGTGTAAGAGTGTGTAGTTTGTAAGTGAGGTGATGCAAGACAGAGAGTCAGATAGGATAAGGAAAGATTCGTTAGCAGAATTTATTTCCTACAAAGTCCAGTGCCATGTCAAAGGCAGTGGCCTCCTCAGAAAAAATGGAGTCTTCGGGATGGAGTCTCCTCCAGTGTACATGTATACAGTTTGAGGATAGGGCAAGGGCGCCCACTGCAGAGTCCGATTTAGAGCCCTCTGAAGTCGGGGTATTTTTGTATAACTTTTTTGTGACATGTATTCTATTTTAAATGTTTTGGTGTTTGTGCTTGCTTTGTTGTGTGTGGTCAGCTGTAAGTCTACTTTTGCCTTGGTGAGGTGCCACGGAGAGAGGTCGGGGAAAAGAAATTGTTGGATGTCTTGTTTGGAAAAGTGTATGTTTTTAAGGTCCCCACAGACTCTGAGGCCGAAGGGTTTGATGAGTTTTTCGTCTTTTTCGAATTTGTTTATGGTGTCTGGTTTTGTTTTCAAAATGCAGTCATGTGCTGGGTTCTCTGGTGTTGAGCTGTTTAATTGCATATTGAAGTGAGAGTCGTGTGCGTCTGAGTGCGAATGATGGTATGTTTACCTTGGCCTGGAGGCTCTCCACCGGAGAAGTGCGGAAAGCCCCCAGAGCGGGATGAACTGGATTGAAGACTAAAAGGCCAGTACACCCAAGAAATCTTCATGAATTGGAACAAGCTTTGCAGGAGGAGTGGACCGACATGCCTCAAATCAAGATTCAACAAATAATTAGCTCAGTGAGACGAAGATGCCTGGTTATTATTGCTGCACAAGGCGGGCATACTCATTATTGAAATCACGCTCTAAAGCAATACATGAAATTTTCCTCAAAACATGTTTTTTGCGTTTTTTGGGAGGTGGTCTTCTTGTCGTGAGTTGTTTGGGTATAAATTGCCGTTTCGTTCAAAAACTAGTCTTACTCTTACATACCGTTTCATCTTTGAATAAGCTAAAATAATTTTCAGGATTATTAATGTAGCACGATTGTCCTCAAAACTAGGCCAGAAATCTATGGACAGTTACTTTTTTCTGAGGTTATAGTAAAAAGTGTCTCCCGACTTAGATTGCTTGTGTGCCCCGGGCTATCATTATGTATGGCCAAGCACAGATGCTAGCCTAAGCACCACATATCGCAGTCTTTATAATTCGTGCCATAGAGTCTAAAAAAAAGTAGTTCAAGCGTCATTTTCTAAGATCAGCAAATCGGAATGACTCACAAAGATATCACACCGACCACTGACAGTACAGATGCCCATACTATCACCCTGGAAAAAGATAACACCACCAACACTTGCAGCTGACATTTCATTTCAGATTCTTTATTTACAAAATGAAACTAATAAGTTATTATCAATGTACATGACTATGCATTTCAAAGCATAAAAAAACCATAAGTATCATTTTCTAATCAAATACACAGATTCAATCAATCCTAAAAATATCAAGCTGGAAACTATGAACCTTAGTTTAACAATTGTCACATAGCCATGACTCATCACACAGCGAGGTACGATAAAACACACACACCCTAAGCACACCCACTCATGTTGCAGTAATGAATAGATGATAGACATGATTATATATGTGACACAATCCGCAAGAATTAGAAATGTGCCATGCCATCATCTCCACATTTGACTCTTTACTAGTCTAATTGCAAGGACTGTTGAGCATTCTGCAGTTTAAATTTCCAAGATATCTGATCTAGAACAGAGTGAAAAGAAATTTAAAATGTTGAAATAACTATCAACTGACAAAAAGGGGTTCAAATTTTCAACTTGTTTATAAAACTGTTTGTCTTAAAATCAGTCTTGAATCGTACTTTAACCTCTAGCACATCAAGTTTTAGAGAGTACTTAAAAGACCGAACAAAATCTTCCAAATTGTGAGCACTGAGAACCAACAAAAAAGAGAACAAAAATTTATACCAAAAAAAACCCGTTAGTTTATTTTTAAGTCTTGGCGATCAAAATTAAGTTTAATTATGACTAGATTTTAGATGAAAATGTGCATTTTGCTTGAAATTTTTAAAAAGTGTCAGAAATAAATAACAAAATATTTATAAACGTTATTTCAGTTTTTGACTTCAGTAGAATAGACATAAGATGTTGTGAACTCTAAGATGATCCATGTTTTTTGCAGACACATTTCCAATTTTTGCAGAGTGCATCACATAAAACACACACTCGCCAAACCCACACCTCTACAGTTCAGTCGTGCCCAGGGAATAGCAGGGTGACATAAAAACGTGCGTGCGTCACACACACACCAAAACCACACACTCATGACTTCTGCCCAATGTATTCATGGGAGTGGGGGGAACCAACTTTACAAACAAAAAAATCATGCATAAAAATTCAGCCACGTGCAATGAATAACCAGAAAGGGAATCAAGAACCCTGCATGAAAAAAAATTCCCTTCGCACTTCAAGCTTGTAGTCAGGCCTTACTTGATGTAACTATGTTTCTCTTACAATACCATCGTTAAAAAAAATTTTTTTTTAGTAGAGGGTTTTACAGCGCTCGCAACTGCATAAGGTCATATGAGCGCCAAGGGGTGGGTGTCAACAGAGAAGTCTTTACAGGGAATCAGACTTATTCTGCTCACCTCTCTAGCTTCAACAGCACAAGGTCTGCTTCGACTATCACAAATAGTAGTCACAAGAGAGTGACAAACATACAAAAGAAGTAGAGGAAAATGACAATAGTAAGGATCAGGAAAGAAAAAACAGCAGTTCCATGTTGTAGATCAGGCACAGTTATGAGCGTGACATGATTCAGCCCATTTACAATTCTACTATGCTTGAACAAGAAATGTCCCCCTTTGGGAATGGCCTAAAGACACTTCAGTCAGTGGCACTGCCCCGGGGGGAGTAGGTTTGCTGTAATACGCCATTTTTACTAAGCGTTGACAAAACATTTATCGCCAGTGTTGTATAGGGCTAGATGAGAATACGGTTTACTCTGAGGACAAATCTGAAACCACAGTCACCTCTAACTAAGCACACACAGCTCAACCCTTTGCCAGCTTCATGTGAAATAATGGTTAGGAGCTATCTTAGTCACTAAATTACTTTGTGCCCAAAGTTCTTCAATTACCTAGGAATAAAAAAGCATTTCACATTGGAGTATCATCTGACCTCCCCCCCCCCATGTATAACTCAGTACAATAGACTTAACTTAACAATGAGAAAGATAAATGTCAATTCTTGTACTACATATGCGGTAGACTGAAGGAGACCATGCAGATTTTCCACACAAACTTGACAACACATATTAATACAGTCATAGCCAAAAATGAGGCCTCTACAACTTACAGCTACTAAGCAACATGTTCTTACATAAACATGCATAAAACATGAAATAATTCAGATACCACAGATATGCTTGTATTCTCCCCTTGCCACTCCATTCAGTACCTTGCCACAAAGTAGCCTGCATAACTACCACTTCCCTCGTTTACTCCAGTCCTTGGGCTGCCAGTGAAGACACTTGGGGTCTATGCGGATGGGCCGCTTGGCCATGGCTCGCTCCTGTGTCTGAATTTGCTCCTCCGATAGTGTGATGATATATTGACCTTTGTAGTAGTTGATGAGATTGAGGTGCTGCAGGGTAGAGATCACGTCGTCTTTCTTGATACTCGTGAGCTCCGATATTTCACTGAGGAGAATTTGTTTGAAGATTAATTATTAATTTTTCCTTTTCATTATTGACATGACATTCATGACTGCCTTATGACATTCATGGTACGTCACAAAAATGTGTTATTTTTAGCTTTGTACCATACCACAGACGACATACGGATCACCCCACTGTTAAATTCTTCAGTACAGAGATTAAGCCACTAGCACAGCATGGATTCGTATTTGGGAATAAAAAATGCACATATCGGTACAAAATTCGATGATACTAATTTACCATCACAGGCTTGCAAGCGATAGATTAACCTCGGTCTAGTCTTACAGACAAACCTGTGCTCTCGCAAAATATTCATACACCAAAATAACAATGAAAAGGCAGCAAATTTTATTTTTTAACCTACGATATCAGGATTTTAAAATTTCAAGTAAATTGGGAAATATAGGAAATAAGGATTAAGTGAAAGTGACACTATCGAAGGCTTGGGGTCTGAATTATTATGTCAAATATGGGCTAAATCTAGACACAAGTCCATTAACACTGAACATATGAATGCTAATATAGCTTAACTAAAAATCAGTATTAACAGTAGGAATGCACACCCCCTGGCAACGAAAGGGTTAAAAGATTTTTAAAAAAGAAATAATGAAAGAATTCCATATGTGCACGAGCAAGGTCAGAAAGTTCACCCCTTCACTCCCAGGCCTGGGACAGTCTTCTAGTCTTTGATAGGATAGTGGAGTAGGCCTGCAATTGAAATGCTTAATCCCATTAAGGAGGGAAAAAAAGAATAATTCAAGTCTGGGGTTCTCACACCTTTGTCCAACTCAAAATCAAAAATTGAAATGGGAGCTAAGACATCAAACACAAAGTTTCAGATTGAGTAAAAAGAAGCACATCAACACAAAAATGGTCATTTAGCGTTGGGAAAGAGCAAGACAGAACAGAAATAACAGAGGAAAAGTAAAGTAGTAGGATCCACCAGTTGTGCAATTTAATAGAGGGAGAATAGACCAACTTTAGTCAACATCTAAGAGAAAAAAAACCCAGATTCCATCAGGCTGTGAGTTTTTTTTAAAGCACTAGCTGTACAAGTACCCATGTAAAGAAAAAGGATGTAACTTGACACTTTCTCCCTAATGCCCACAGTTCAAAACGAAGAAAGTGCAAACAATTAAAGAATGCAGACTTGTTATCAATCAATATTTGAAGGGCTGAGAATGGCATACCACACAAAAGGCTGTAAACTAGGGGGGGTCCGGTGGCATGACCCCACTAGAAAATTTTGAAAAAACAAGGCATAAAATAGCTAAATCTGGTTATTTTGGAAGGGTTTGAGGTCTTATATGTTACCCTAATTTTAGAGAAAAAGAAAAAAAATAACTACTCAAATACTGTCAAAAAGAAAATACACCATTACTATACATTGTACACACATCATTCTTGAGATGAAAAAAGAAAAATTATTCACAGGGTTCACACCATTTTGAAAGGCCATTTTCAGTGTTTTAATGATTTGGTGGAGCAAAATTTCATTTTCAATGATTTAGTTATTTGAACTAGCATGTCAATATTTTCAAGAAAACGTGAGCCCTGATGCAATAAATACATGAAAACATACCCTCTTTATAAAAAGACCCAACAACACACAAGTCCTTAAGACTTACAAAGGGAAGAATTCTTCTTGCTAAAAGTTTTTAGCCTGCTACCCGCGATGAAGTGTTGTTAATAAGCGTTTTAAAAAGCCTGCAATAAGACTTTTGTTTCTTTGCAGGTGCATTTTTGGCTGCTGGCTGGCTGTCCATTTCTTCTGAAGCAGACGCAGTATGATAGTGTGATGTTCTTCTATCTGGCTGGATGGAGCACCATTAGTTTGAGTATTTGCAACAAGAGATACATTTTTGCTTTGTTAAGGAGCTGGCTGAAGCATCATTACTTTTTTTTTTCCAGATGGAGATACATTTTTTGTTCTTTTAGATGCTGGCTGGCTAGCTCTTTGTCAGATGCAGCTCGTTTTTCTCCTTTCTTTACTGTTAGTGAAGAAACAGGTTTCAATTTTGTAGAAGAAACAGGTCCCTGTTGCAGAGAGTTCATTTCAGTTTTCTTTGTTGGTAGTTTTGTCACTGTTGTTGACTGCTTTTGTTCTCTGTACATCTTAACTGCATTTCTAATGTTCCTGGTCAGTAAATGATTGACAGGGTCCTTTTTTGGGTTGGTCTTTGCATAAAACAAGTGTGATGTGGAGTTGTGTGCTTGTAAGTGGTGTTTGATTGTTTGATATGAAGGGTATGTATGTCTGATTTGTTTTGTATTTTGTGATAATGTTGCCCACTACACTGAATGTTGACTCCACAAGGGCACCATGGAAGCAGGAATAAACTGTTCTAGCAATGCCTGTCAGCAGCGGATACGTAGATGTACACACCTGTCCCCACCATGCATCAATCCTTGTTGAAGCTATCTTTTCACCTGTCTACGTGTGCTGACAGTGCGGCGTATCCTTGGCCACCACATCTCACTTCCTTCTCACCATAGAGCACACCACGCATGCCCCTTCTTGTTCAGTTTTCTAATGAACTCACCAAGGCGCCGGCCGTTAACACTTTTATCGCACCATTCCCAACACCATGGGTTACTGGCATCACCATCATCAAATTTATCTCTTCTCGAAAGAATATCAACAGTGCGCTTCACCATGATGAAGAACAAGCAGACAAGACAGAGAAAAAAAAGGCTACAGGGTTGTGATATGCGTGAGCCAAAGTCACCACAGTTCTCCACGTAACTACCGGTACTCAATTGTCACAACAGAATGCGATTCTACCAGTAATGAAGAAGAATAAAAAGTACTCGATTGAATGGTATCAGCCGACACACGGATGCGCACGCACCTCCGTTTCGTCCACAAGCAGTTAAAAAACTTCTAAAATTGTTATCGTCTTCGATTCAATTTTGGTTTTTTAAATTCTTACTACAATACTATTATACAACGAAACTCGCAAAAAAGGTGGAAGAGGCGTTCCAATGAGCGGACGCGGAGTTGCAATGAGCGGAATTCCTCCTTTAGGCAGACAATTCTCAGCACTGATAACGAACCTAGACAAAATGTCTGTGCCATTGACAAACAGCAGGAAAACAACCCCCCCCCCCCAAAAAAAAAAAGAGAGAGAGAAAGAGAGAGGGAGAAAGCAAAAATAAGGGAGGGGGGGGAGGGGGACGACAACAAAAGAGAGAACACAAATGAGGTTTTACGTTTTTTCATTTCTGAAAACCAGGTTTCACGCACATACACAACAAAGCCCCATTTACACGTACAGTTCATTGACAGACAAACTGTAGGATATCGAAAGAATGGCACGCATCCTGTCAACTTCCCAGTAAAACTGAGCGTGGAAATGAGAAATCCTCTCGAAAACAAAGGGTTCTCAGTACACCAGATATTTTCCGGCCGGCAAACTGAAGGTCAGACGATGAGGGAACAGCTTCTTTGATGTTGCCCCAGGCAGAGTTGAAAATGCATTCCAAAATTTTCCTAAATATAGGTTAAATAAAAAAAATTTCAAAAAAGATTTTCGTGATCTGCGACCCAAAATTAGTCAAAATCCTGCAGGGAACACAATTTAATGCAGGATTACCAAGTTAATTTTTTTTTGCTGTGTTTTGTCAAGGACTGACACTTTAAGGATGAAAAAACTTTTGTAGGTCTAAATGGAACTTCTCTCGTTGACAAACTTTCAGTTCAACGATGACCCAGATCTAGTGTCTGTCGGTGTAACTGTCAAATTGTCGATGAATGAACTGTATGTGTAAAGGGACCCTTAGAGTTGGACAACAACAACATACAACACACACATAAGGCAATACAGTCACATGTAGGCTACAGAGAACAACAGGCTATATTTGTCACCCCACAGTTTTTTAGAAACTTACTTGATTGTGATGCAAGGTCTTTCTCCTGATTCATTTGGTTTCATCTCCAGGAGAATTTCTAAAATGGTCTGTGACCAGTAGCTGCGATAGGACAATAAACCAAGGTCTGACAACGGTTTCTCTGGAGACCCAGTCTTACATTCCACTTTGGATAACTCGTAACCTGGTTTGGCATAGAGAAAAACAAGAAATAAACAGCATGTCAATCAAGTAGAATGCTAGGGTGTCCTGACAAAAAATAAAAACAAAAACTAGTATTTCCAACATGACCTCTTGGTCATACTTGATCAAAAAATTAAATCAGGTTTCTTATGTTTGATGAGAAAAAAGGGCTCTAGGCTAACTCGCCCGCTGTGTTGCCCCCATCCCACCACACCCTGTGATGCATTCCGTCTGCTTGCGTACGCCCCGTCAAATCACTGTGACCTCTCCATCCCCCCATTGGAAAAGTGAGAGGCATGGTAGGCTTTGATAATCTAGACTAGGCTCGCCTATCACGCTATGCGTTCTGCTTGTCTGCGCATGCCACACTCTCCCCACTCATTCGCTCCGGTCTTCATTATTGACAAACGTGGGCTCTCCCATTCTTTGTTTCGCTAGTTCACCAACAAGTTTCTCAACTTCCGAGGTTTTACATTATGTATAATTGGCCTATGCGGTGTGCACAGCAGCAGCAATATTCCGCTATAACCGACTTGCGTGTTTGTCTGATTGCGCTATAGCAGTATTGTATTTACAAAGATAAAGAAGAGAAAAAAACACAGGGGTTTTAGAATAGTATCTTTATAACAGACTTCTCGTTATTTTAGGACCCGTTATAAGTGGACTCCACTGTATTAATCTCGACAATAGTCACCCAGCATGTACCCTAATTTTTCTCCATTTTCAAGTTTGAATGTCGAATGTCACAACCTTGAATCGGGGGCTCTCGTGGCCTAGAGGTTAAGATGTTTGCCACCCATTCAAAGGTCCCGGGTTTGAATCTGGGTAGCGACCGAAAAATTTTCTTCTCTAAAATTGTCTTCTTTCACCTTCTTTCCCGCTCTCTAGCAATGTTCTGTCGTCTGCTTTCGTCTCCACTTTCTGCCCCCCCCCCCTCCTCTGGGCTTCTGACTCTTTCTGCAGCTTTTCTACTGCTACTCTTTGGCTCCTTCTTACTGCTGTCTTTCAGCCACAGCCCTGATCTTCTGGTGGGAAAGATCTACACCTAGCCTTCTCGGACAAGGGTGAAAAAGCTTGGAAGTCCCGGGTGCAAGTTGCGCACGTTAAAGATCCCTTGGTGGTCTAAAATCGATAAGAGTAGGCTTCGGCCGCCACCTTGGCAAAATTCAAACTTCCTACCAACTAAAAATGTTTAATGTGTCCCGCGGCCCCATATGACCTTATGCAGTTGCGAGCGCCGTAAAACACTTACCAAAAAAACCCCTTGAATCACCACTTCCAATTATTATTGATTTTAGGCCTATAATTAGGATATCCTTGCATAATGGAAAAGGTGTACATCAGACTCATCAGTCATTGCTTTTTCCATGTATTAGAAGGCATAACCATGGTTCTAAACAAAATGAAACTTTCTTTCATGACCTTAACTCTTAATCGTTCTTGGGCTTTGCCCAGTTTTTTTTTTAAGATAAAGAGGGTGGATGTAGAAAAAAAATCCTATAAATTCATGTGAAGGTCAATACAATCAGTTATATCATAGCTGCCACTCAGGAATTTCCAAAAAGGAGGAAATTCACGCTAAGGCGTACGTGCGCTCTCCGAAGGCCGGAGTAAAACCAGTGAGATCCAGAGGCAATATATTGGAACATCTATGTTTTTGGAAGGGAAAAGTGTCATATTTGTTAACCATACTGAATTTAAATGTAAAATTAAAAAAAAACAACCCCCAAAAAAACCCAACCCCAAGACATTAAGTTGACTAATAAGAAATGGACCCAGTTTGGTGATTAAAAATCCAGTGTTTGTTGCCAGCTAGTGTTTTATAAAAAGATTTCTTTCCCTTTAAACTTGTCTGGCCCTCCAGGAAATCCCGGTCTTGCGGCTGCAATTTTTAGCAATTTCTTGCAATTTTAGGCAAAAATACATCAACGCTTTAATTTTAACAGAATTTTAAAAACAAAATGGTGCGAATACAGAGCCGATATGCCTACGTAAATCATGGTTTCATCTTGTCTACTGGGCGTACTCTAAAAGCTCTGCTTTAGAGATCTAAACGGAAATTCAGGCCAGAATACATCATGTACAACACAAACTGAGACATAGAGATCTAATGTGTATAAGTGTAAGCGTGCGCGTGAGAAAAGAAAGTAGGTGTGTGTGCGCGTATAAGGTGTACGTGTGTGTGTGTGTGTGTGTGTGTGTGTGTGTGTGCCTGCCTGCGTGAATATTGTTCGTACAAGATGCATGTGTCTACATACACGGTAACCGGGCACCTAGTCTCAGTATCTACGTACACGGTAACCTGAATGAAAAAAAATCAACATTTGTTCTACGCTGTCACTTGTTGAAAAAAAAAAAGAAAGTCCGAACATGTGCAAGCGTCTTGTCGGGCTCGCCATCATGACCGGTCAGTGAACCTGCTTTCGCATCACATTGTGAGTATAGGTTGGGGTCACCAAAGTTCATTATAAGTCTGTGCGCTGCGAACTATACGGGTCTGGAAGGGGGGGATTAGTGATTTTTTTAAAAAGGTACAGTCGGGGGAGGGCTGGGGTTGGAGGCAACACCAGATGACAAAAACTGAACTTGGAGTTCTGAACTGCCCGGTTACCCTGTACGTGACACTGAGACTACGTGCCCGGTTGCCGGTTACCGTGTACGTAGACACTGAGGCTAGGTGCCCGGTTACCGTGTACATACACACTCCCTTTTAAGCTGCGTTCACACGGGAGTGGTCGCTAAAGAAATGATCTACATTATTATTTCTATTAAATGGGGGAAAAAATTTGCTGTATTTTACGATTTGACTTTGTGTTAAAACAATACCATACTGGTTTTAAAAAAGAAAATATCTGAAATTAGATCTAAATACAGATTACCGGTGTATCGAATGTTTCAATTTCAAGAGAAAAATAGAACAAGATCTGAATTTATTGGGGCATAAGCTAATTTTGCATTTAGAGGTTGTTTCGAATGTTTTTATAGACTAAACCTCACTACAATTCTAGATCTTTGCATGAACCAAGTACCCGGTATGTACTATGTACTAAATTTGGTCAAATTTTACACCTTCAGTTAAAAGTTATTACGAAAACCGAGGGTTCCATTATTTTGTGTCACGCGGTATTATATTATATTTGGTCGATAACTTTATTGTTAACGTACTCGTGTGTTGTTACTAGTAAATGTTAATAAAATTTGTATTGTGGGTCATGATTTTTTAAAAGGCAGTTCTGCTTTTATGCGCAAGCCGAGTTTTTGTCTTTCCCTGTTCTGGGTTTTCCGTTTGTAAAAAAAAAAAAAAGGTATCGCAATTTGCGAACGAGAGAGGTCCAGCGGAGGAAGGAGGAAAGTAGTGGGAAAAGCTAGATGAAGCGGAGTTTCCCCTATTTAGCGGAAAAGTGGCAGCTATGTTGAGGCATCATCGTGGTGAAACCAAGTGCTCGTCACAATAATGAAATCAAGATGAAACAGCATTTTTCTTTCTGCTTGGTAGTTTTTATAGAATTTTTGTTTTTTGGCTCAACACCCTTTTTGTCCATTTAAACGCAAATTTCTGCATGAATTTTACCGAAAAACGTTGATTAAAGGCACTAAAAATGTAAATTTACAATTTCCATGGACTTTCCAGCTTTAAAAGTCACCAAACTTGGGCCGCCATTTTCTCGCTTATTTTACCCCTGAAACCAGGTGATCCCCACCTCTTTCAATCCGAAATATCTCCACTTCTATTAGAAATAGATGGGTACTTTTTTCATCGAAACCAAGACAAATGAACAAGCTTTAAGATGATACCAATACCTCAATATACCCCAAATGGATGAGCGCCCGATTCCAACGCGTCGTGACACATATACATCAATAGAAAGATTATTGAGTTGACTTTGATTTGAAACAATTGCATATGTGACCTACTCACTGTGTATCTAAAAATAGATAAAAATTACTTTTTTCTTCATCTGTACATAGGCAAAGATGGAAAAAATTGTATTCAGCGAATTGATTTCATTTCTAATTTATATTAAGTAACATTCAATTCTACATACTATCCAAAAAATTTGAGCAATTTTGGACCAAATGGCAGGGATGACAGCCATATCAGTACCATGACCTTTACATTCAAATTTGAAATGCAAATAGTCATACGAGGGGGTTTCAATAAGTCTTTGGCCTGGTTATGAAGGAATCATGCTAGAGTCATGACGTTTTGCCGGCCTTTAGACAATGTCTTTGGAACACACCATGCATATTTTCGGGAAAATATGACAATAATCAAGCACTAGTCGGCGTGTTCAATGAAACCATGCAATAAAAATTTTTGTTTTTCTTTGCTGAAGCTGTGCCATAGAGCCTGTTGAATATCGCTCAGTTATCAAGTTTTCACACTTGCAAGGAAAATCACATACGGACATTTTTCAGGAAATGGTTCCAATTCGTGGTGACAAATGTCCTGTGACATACTGGGTAAGAAAATTCAAATCTGGATTCAAGTCACTGATGATGAAGATCGTTAAGGGTGCCCATCCTTTGTGGTAACTGATGACAATTTATCCATAGTGAAGAAACTGGTTCTACAAGACTAATGTATAACTGTTAAACAGCTCTCAAGTGAAAAGAGAATCAGTGTAGATTTGATTTGATTGGGTAGATGTTTTACGGCACTATCGACACAATTTTGGTCATTTAAGCGTCAACAGGTTTCATTGCTACAAAATCAGACATGTTTTTAGTAAGAGTCTTTCGGAGCTCGCAACCGCACACGATCACACTATTTTCATTATGCTAAAAAGACGAACAAACATTTATAAAATTTTTTTGTAAATATGGAAAAGGCTCATTTACATTTGTATATACAATATTAATTTCAGTGTATGTATATATACACTGGTAACGATAACTATATATTTTCATATTCTATTAAATAGTCCAATTTCTTTTACATAACTTAAAATTTTTCTAGGGTCTACGATGTCAAAAAGGGTCTTAATATCTTTACATTTAAAATATTTCTTACGAACATCATTAAATTCGATACATTCCGTTAGGATGTGCCGAACTGTGAAATTTGTGTTGCACGCCATGCAAAAAGGAGCTTCTTCTCCTTCAAGCAAATGTTTGTGCGTGATGTGCATGTGTCCTATCTTTAGTCTGGTAAAAATTACCTTTTCTCTTCGAAGGAGAGATAGTGGTTTCCTGGGCGTAAGTTTCGATTGAATGTAATGGAGTTTGTTGTGTATTTGTTGATTCCAAATTTGGGACCAGGAGGATGTGATGTGTTCTTTTACTTCCGGTTTCATGTCAGAGAAAGGGATTTTACTACTTTTGTTTTCAGGTAGTTTTAGAGATTCTTTGGCAAATTGGTCAACGGCTTCATTGCCATCAATGCCTACATGGCCTGGAAGCCAAGCTATTGTAATAGTTTTTCCAGACTGATGTAGAAAATGCAGTTTAATTATAAGTTTCAAAATTCTGTTGTCGGAGGTGTCAGAGCACTCTAAAGATTTCAGACAAGAGTCTGAAAGGATTAGGAAAGTAGACTTGGTCGATTGATCTATTATATTTAGGGCCATTTCAAGAGCTGTAGCCTCAGCAGTGTAGACTGAGGCTTCTGGGTGGACTTTCCTTAAGCTTAAGCTGTGTGGCGATGCAAGGGCAGCAGCTCCTACTAAGGAGTCATTTTTGGATCCGTCTGTAAAGAGTTTCTTTGCCTGTAAACTTTCTACAGATGAAGTACAGAAAGCCCCTAGGGCAAGGCGAAGGCCTTGGTTCAGAACAGGGACTAAAATTTTAAGGTAAGACTTTCTAGCTGATCCGTAAACTGGACTGGCATAGTCCAGCCTGGAACAGACAAGGGAACGGAAAAGTTGAAGAAGTATTTCAGTATCTCCTCCCCATTCGGGATTGGATAGTACTTTTAAGGCGTTGAGAGCGCTCTGACACCTCGTCTTTAGGTCTTTCAAGTGCGGCAGGAAAGAAAGTTTCTTGTCAAAGATTACGCCCAGGAAATGAGCTTGTTTTTTTACAGGAATTTTCTCTCCAAACAAATATAAATCTCGTTGTCGCACACACTTGTGCGACAGAGCGACAGACAAAAATGTACACAGTTTGTTTTTGGTGTAGAAAATTTGAACCCGTGCTCGTTTGCCCAAGTTTCCAGTTTATGGAGTTGAAGCTGAAGCTGACATTCAATGTGATCTATTTTGGATTTGGATTTATAGCAGATCAGGAAGTCGTCAACGTAAAGCGAGCAGTCAATATTGTTTTGAAGGGTTTTTGTGATGGAATTGATTTTGATTTCGAAAAGAATGGGCGATAAGATGCTTCCCTGGGGGACGCCTTCTTCTTGGGCGTGTAAATTTGATAGGGTTGAACCTACTTTTACTTGAAATGATCGATCTTTCAAAAAGTTTCGCATAAATTCAAGAAGATTTCAGCGTAAGCCCAAGCCACGCAGGTCTTTTAAAATATCGTGTTTCCATGAGGTGTCGAAGGCTTTTTCTAAGTCTAAAAAAATAGCTACAAGGTGCTCTTTCCCGAATGAAAGTTTCAAGTCGGACGAGATGGTCAATAGTAGAGCGATTTTTTGCGAAAACCCCATTGGAAATTGGATAAGGAGTTTGAGGTTTCGAGAAACCACATTAGACGTTTGTTAATAAGTTTTTCCATAAGTTTGCAGAAACAGTTTGTAAGGGCTATGGGACAGTAGTTTGATGGGTTAGAGTTATCTTTTCCTGGTTTTGGGATTGGTATAATAGTGGCAAGACGCCAACTGTTCGGAAATTGTTGAGAATGCCAGAGTTCATGGTAAATATCAAGGAGTAATAGGGGTGTTTCGTCAGGAAGACGTCTGATGATTTCGTTGTGTATTTGATCAGGGCCTGGAGCTGTGTTTGATATTTCTGCAATATTGCATTTTAATTCATTAAGAGAAAAGCTGCAATTATAGTTTTCTTCATTTGAAGAGGTAAAATCAACAAGTTGTCTTTTCAGAAGACATTTTTACTTTTTTGAATTCAGGGTAGTAATTGTGGGTAGAGGAATTTCAGGAGGGGGTTGATGCTATACAGTCAGCTACTGTTTTTCTGTCTCTACGAAGGAGTTATTTGGTTTTAGGATGTGTTTGATTGTGTAGAGTCAATTGAAATGATATGACCATCTAAATATGAATAAGGTGTCTGTGCAATGGTTGACAAGTAAGCAAAAGAAGCAGAGGTTTTATTGTTTTTGTTGTTGGTGGTGGTGGTTTGTATTTTGTTTGTAATTTTTACTTTGTTGCTGATTTTACGCAAGGGTGACAATAAAACGAATTGTATCAGACGAGGAAGACCGAGTGCCATGTTAAAACAAACACATGGGTCGCCACCACTCGGAGAACGAGCGATGCTTCTATCACAAGTTCATGTTGAGGTCCTTTGTTACTTTGTTGCAAGTTATAGACTGGGTAAACTGTGACCACTCATCTCACTTACGATTTGAGCATGAGAGTTCTGGGCGGGGCTTATGGGTAATGAGGGATCACAGGCTTACCTTACCAGCAGCTGAAAATTGGTACCTATTGGTCAACAGTGGAAGGGGCCTAAGCAGCATGATCAGTTGAAGGGACTACCTAACAACAACGACAGGCGATTGAATTATGACGGCTCGCCCACAACACCAGGGACCAATGCACAATTTATGACAAAACGTAATGGAGTCACTAAGGTGGCCGTCTAAGACAGGTGTTATTGCTTAGTGTGATAGGGGTTGTGTGTTAAAATATGGTGGCCGCGGCCGCGTTGGACAGGTGCCAGTTTTACACAGTTAAATTATATAGAAAAAACGCAATGGAGGAAATGGAAAGTGGCCGTTTGTACAGGTGGCCGTCTTATAGAGGTGGCCGTCAGGGCAGGTTCGACTGTATCTGTGCCAAATAACAAAGCTCGGTCCTTATAAATTCCTTCATATTTAGACCAAAGACTTCTTGAACTCCCCTCGTATTACATAAAAATGATTACAATTCGTTAAGGCTCATATGACTGCGGTATCTTACCTAAAAGTAATGGATATTGGGTAGTTATCTATTTTAAACACAAATCCCAGATTTCATTCAGCTCATTTGCATATTTCACCTACTTTTGAGATTACTATAAATAGAAACAAACAGCATTTCACTAATATTGCTAGAGGCATGACAGCGGTATCTTACCTTAAAGTAAAGGATATTGGGTAGTTATCTATTTTAGACACAAGTCATAGATTTCATTTAACTCTTTTGCATATCTGACCAACTTTTGAGAATTTTATAAATAGAAACAGAGTATTCGAATAATATTGCTAGAGGAGCCTCCCTTTGGCTCCCAGACATTGTTATTTGTGATGCATGGACTTATCTGTGCTTTGGGTCCATAATGGTAACTCATATAGGTGGAAAAGTATACATTTCAAGATAGCTAACAGATGAGAGTAATTTGGGCAAACGGCAACGCCCATTAGAGTATGGTAAAAAAAAAGTTCTTTTCTACCTTTTTGGGGAAATTCAACAGAATCAAATCTAGACTATGTAGAAGCTCGATAATTAAGAAAATAAAAAGAAATAAAGGATTTATAGCCTTCCAAATGTTGTTTTAGTAAGGTTTTACGCAGCTCGCAACTGTATATGATCATATGAGTGCCAAGGGGTGGATGTCAACAGAGAAGTCCAAACAAGGGGAAAAAAAGCAGCAGTTCCCCCTGTGTTGTTCCGGTACAGTATGAGCATGACATTGATAAATCAGCCCATTTACAATTCTACTGTGCATAAGAACATGCCCCCCCCCCCTTTGGGAATGGCCTAAAGACAACTTCAAGCCTTTCAAAACCATGGAACATTTATGTTTGATTTTTAAAGGAAAGAACTGCTGAGAGGATTAATGAACATGAAAAGACATGAAATTGGAAAGATGCACACTCAAACTGAACACATAGGCCTACACATTAGATAAGTCTTACTGAATTCTATGAGAAGTTTCCCATATCCCTTCCTCTGGTAAGGAGGTAGTGTCAGGATGCAAGCCACATTGAAATCCTCAGCAGACTCCTTTTCCTGAAAGTGAGGAGACCAAAAGAAAACACTGCAAAACAAGAATACAAAGAACCCCACATTGATCAACTTTAGACCCAACAAAACCTCAGACTGAGTGAAGTAAATAAATCAACATTTTAAATCGTATCAGCTATAACAAGATGCCTTGTATATACAGAGTCCATAATCAAATAACCATAGACCCAATAGCTTTCTAGTCCTATTTTTACCAAACAAAGAGCCCCTAGTGAGGAGGCTGCAATTTTCTCCCCAAACCACCATAAAGTAAAAAGTAAGTACATTTGAACCTGCTTTTAAGACCACATGTCCAAGACAATCCCCCCCCCCCTGGAGATTCCTCATCAATAAGAAGAAACAACAGAACAGAATGAAGCAACAGAACAGAATGAACCACCTTCAATCTCTTATTTGTCTAGTTGCACTTGGAGGTTGTATTGATAATGATTCCATCGGTTAGGAACTAAACCAAGAAAGATTGTGCATTGGATGTTTAACATTTGTCACTCGTTCAACCATCTCTAAATATTCGACAGAGAAAACAGGTCAGCAGGCTCATGAAGAAATCAATGAAAAAAGAATACACATGTCTTTTGAAAAAAAAAATCACATTTTATTTGGGAGGGAAGTTAAAAGAGACACAGATGCATTAGAACTGACATCCCTGGAGAAATATTGATCTGAATCTCTCATTTTGCCAGAACATGCTTTAACAGAAACCTCAGACGCTACAAAACATAATATCAGACCTGACCACTTCAAGGGACGCAAGATTCACCATCCTGCCATTCAAACACTCTTCAGACCAAAAGAGGCTCATGGTTCTTCTGGTGGTTCTTCAAGACGAACAAAATATCAGGACCCCACCCCCCCAAATACTATCAACACTTCACGAAAAAAGATGAAGTAAGAAAAACTGCGTATTGACTGCTCAGTGTAAAGGCACATTCAGACCAATCATCCGCATCTGTTTGTCCATCTTAGGAAGATAGATGTAAAGAAGCTGACTGGGGACCTCTTGTTCAAACCACCACATGTCTGTTGGAGGGCTTTTCACCGATATTATATGGACATCAAAGTGAAAATTTTGGTTTTGTAGTGGCAAAATAATGCTTTATCAAACAGAATAAAGCCCATTGAATGAATTAATATTAATTAAGACTGTATTTGGTTGTTTTGTCCACCTTTTACCTCTTCTGCCCCCCCCCCACACACACACACATAAAGCCAGTTGGGATGAGAGTTAACAAAGCTCAAGAGGTAAAATTTCACATCATGATCATCTATCATAAAAATAGAAGGGGCTGTTTTTTTTCAAGGTTCTTTAAGGTACACCACGGGAAATATTCAGGGCAAAAGATACGATGTTCGGCAAAAAATATTTATTTTTAGCTTTATATCCGATTGGGTACTTCAACGTATTGGGAATAGATCTGACGTGTTACTTTTACAAAGAACACATTTTTGAAACACGCTGTCAATCATTTTAGTAGGTACCCCCCTTTCAAATTACGTGCAAATTTTAGGCGTAAAGAAAACTTTTGCTTAGTTGATCCATTAATTTTCTACCCTGACAACCAAAACAATCTAGTAGATCTTCTGCTAACGAGTTTAGCGCGGAGGTCAGACTGAACTTTCGTTGAGTGAAGGACACACGCTTCGGTTAATTTATAGCTCCAACGTTTTTCCCATTAGCCCAGAAAGCTTTCAATCCCAGGATGCAACATCTCCGCGTGTTTTGTCACCCGCGCTCAACACATCTCCGAAGCTCCGGGTTTTCGTAAGCTTCTGTCACTTGAAAAAGGGGGAAGAATAACTGAAATTCTTCAGCTTTGACAATGTTTCAACTGATATACAGTGCAGGTAAGAGTATATTTCATTCCTTGGTGTTTTGTCTTGAACGTGTATAGCCTCATACGATTGCAAGTCGTAATATCAGCTGCTTGCTGACCTACGCGGTCTAAGTTAGTGCAAGTCTAGTAATGGCCTACTAGAATTAGGATTAGGACACACTATATGTACTGGGACTGGCTTGTTTTACGAACAGCATTGGCAATATTCAGTAGTTCATTTCATGAGCTGAATGTTGGAATTACTTTTAGTTTAGGGAGAACTGATGAGGAGTATGAGCAAGTTTTGGAATGGAGGTGTGTGCATTTTCGGAACAAGTAGCCTTGTCACGGTGCGAAAGCTGTGAGTTTGTGGACCACTTGCAAAGCCACATGAGCTTTGACCTGCTTTGACATTTTATCGATCGACTGACCTAGTAGAACAGACAAGATTTTAACCACATAATGCCACATTCCCTCACTTTTACAGTCTTCAGTGGTTGTGCATAATTCTTTTTTCTCTCTGACTTGACGTTGCTGGTTCAGTTTGAAGTTTCCGGTTTTCCTTCAATTGTTTTCGTACTGAGATCTAGATCTAGATCTAGCTATCACTGGGGCGGGGAAAAATAAATTTAAAAATAAAAGCTGAAAATCTTCAGTTCCGGACTTTAGGCACAAGTAGATAAGATTATGTCTCATTAACTTGTGTGCTCTGTTTTGAACTTATATCAAATTACAAGTGTGTTAATTAAACTGCTGCTCATCAGGGTTAGTTTTTTAGTAGAGGTTTTACGGCGCTCCCAACTGCATACGGTCATATAAGCGCCAGAAGATTAGAGGTGTTACAAGAGAGTAACAAACATAAAAAAGAAGAAAGGGAGATAAGGATGATAGACGTTTGATAGGAAAGAAGAAGCAAACCACACCAGAGCACCCGCCAACCACCCACCATCAGGGTTAGATCATGAATATATAATACGATTACAAGTTTTATTTGATCGTGCTAAAAATCTTATACAGTAGTTCAATGGGAACATTCAGCATTTATTTGTAATGTGGTCTTATTTTGAACTATATTTTAGTTTACTCCCTTACACCACAATTCATGGTAATCGCACCCAATTCCTTCTATCTATTCTAATTCTGTTTTGTGGGTTTTTTTCGGGAGAGGAGGGGAGGGGGGGGGGGGGGGGGGATTCAAATTAATAGCAAAACGATGTTCAAGAAATATGTAGATATATCGAATTAATATTTTGTAATGAGTGCTCTCAGTTTTCTTGAGGTACTCTAACATTGGTGTCATTAGGATAAATTACGTAGTATACTAGTAGCATTTTGTTGCCAAATTCTTTTCCCTCCAGCTGGGGTTTTTTTGGCTTTGTTTTACCAACAAATTGGTAATTCACTAATCTGCTTGTGTATTTTCCCAGCTTTGCTAATCTGTGAAGGCCCAGCTGACAACTGATAAGTTTGATTCATGACTGTAAATCCTCAAGCCTGAATGTCAGGTCAACTACAGTGGCCCCTCGTGGTAAAGAGAGCGAAGCGTGTCATATGGGGTTGCTCACTCCAGTACAAGATGAGGAACACCTCACTCATTGGTGATGGAGATTCAAAATCATTCCAACTGTATTGGTCCTCAACCCCTATGATTCCATACTCATAAAGGAGGTGATGTGTGTCAACCATGTGGCAAAAGAGTAAGTCAAAATTGATTTTGATTCTTACGTGTCATGAGAAATCAGAGTGATTTATTTCAGATACCCGATATCTCTCTCAGAAAAATGCCTCACTAATACTTAGGCTATACTTAGAGAGTGATTAGTTCATTGAAAACAATGTCTTATAATTCAATTTAAGTGAAGAGAAGTAAAAGGCAAACAATAACTGCACTTTCATTAATACTGATCTGATTCAGATTAGGCCTAGTATTAGTGTGAGAGATAATACACCCCTTTCCCTCCATTTAAACCTATTTATGTTCATCAACTGTGCTTCAACTCTTTTATCAGCAGTTGAAACAAGTAAAAGTACCGTTATTGAAAATGTAATAATAGTTTGCTGATAGAAAATTGCATGTTTGGCTTTGTTTTCATTACCGTTGAACTTTGTAAGCCTGTCACTGGTGATTTTGTTGGCTTGAAAAAAATACTTCCGAGAACGAGAGAATGCTTCTATAAATGAAATCTGTTTTGTATGTCACATCATTTCAGTCTCAGCTCTGTACTTTGCGAAATCTGAGAGCCATCGAGAAAAAGAGAGGTGTAACGCTTGGAGAGAGAGCCTTTGGCATACTGACTCAGGCACCGTATTTGAGGATAAGAAATTTCACTTGACTATCCCTTAATTTTCAGAGTCCCATCAATCAACAATTATTGCGCTATTCCCCTCAAGCAAAACTTAGCCTGTTACTGTTTGTGACCTAAGATATGATGGATGTTTGTTCATTTTTTTTTTTAATGGAGAAGGAAGCAAGTTCTCCTGGGACCTACGGTGCTTGTCATGCCTTGTGAAGCACGAGGACCATAATGATGAACGCCTTGTATCATATTTTGCATTTGGCATACTGCTTCATTACATGTATTTCATAAAACTAATTGCAGATTCACATTCAGACACATTTTTGGGGATATTTTCAGAAATATTTTTTCCTTTCAGAGATAGTAGAATTTATAAACTGAGTCTACTCATATATGCAACCAACCGCTTATCTAGCGCTACTCTTTGTCCCTGGAGATCAAAATCAACAACTGTCTGGTGAAGCACAAACTGACCCAGTGTAATGAAGGGGTTAATGCCCATCGTCTTGTAGGCCCGTACTTCATGCATTCACTCACTCTCAGACTCAGACAAGTGTGTCAGTGGAGAAAGGGAGAATATCACTAGGCCCTAGGCTAGGCGTACACAGTTGCTGAGTCGCTGGTGTGTTGTGTGTATAGTGTGCACTGTATGTAGACTGTGCACTGTGCACGAAGCACCTCTGGTGGCCAAGAGTGAAGGGGTTTGGGGGAAATTAACATTAGTAGGCTACATTTCAGGTAGGGGGCAAATAGTAGCCTATGTTTATAAAGGCATTCCTTTTCGTGCATTGGCAAACCCTGGTGGAAAGTTGGGCTAGTAAAACAGGGAGGCAGTTTTGCAGGGTTTGAGTGTATATATTCTGCTTTCTTGTCC